GCTGGAAGGGGGGGCCAAATTAGAATATCTCAAAAAGCTCACTAAAAGTGCATGGAAATTTAGTTTCTCTGTATTTTCAATAAAAACTTGTGAACAGTCTTCAGTGTGCCCAGGTGGCCAAGAAGGCCAATGGCATCCTGGCCTGGATCAGCAACAGTGTGGCCAGCAGGAGCAGGGTAGGTGTTCCCCAGTACACGATGCTGGTGAGGCCACACCTGGAGTGCCGTGTCCAGTTCTGGGCCCTTCAATTTAGGAAAGATGTTGAGTTGCTCGAATGCATCCAGAGGGGCAACAAGGCCTGGAACACAAGTTCTATGAAGAATGGCTGAGTGACCTGGGTTGTTTAGCCTGGAAAAAAAGGAGTCTCAGTGGAGACCTTACCACTCTCTACAACTGCCTGAGAAGAGGTTTTGGTCAGCAGCGGGTTGGTCTCTTCTCCTAGGTGACCACTAATAGATCAAGTGGTCAACATCTTATGCTGCACCAGGGGAAGTTTAGGCTAGACATTAGGAGGAAATTCTTTACTTTAAGAGTGATTGGGCACTAGAGTCATCTGCCCGGAGAGGTGGTGGAGTCACCATCCCTGGACATGTTTAAAAAAAGACTGGATGTGCCACACTGCCATGGTTTTGTTGATAAGGTGGTGTGAGGCCATAGGTGGGACTTGATGATCTCGAAGTCATTTCCAACGTAGTGAATTCTTTGATTCTGTGATTCAGTGAGCTGAAAATTGCTGTGAATGCTGGGAGCTGAGTTAGTGCTGCCCCTTCCAGCAGCATCAAGGTGTGAGCATGATGAAGCTGAACATCTCTTTCCCAGCCACTGGCTGCCAAATGCTCATTAAAGTGGACAATGGGTACAAGCTAAGAACATTTTATGAGAAAAGAATGGCCATGGAGCCATTCTGATTCCCTTGGTGGAATGGGAGGGATATGTCATCTGGATCAGTGGTGGGAATGACAAAGGTTTCTCCATGCAGCAAGGTGTCCTGCCTCACAGATATGTCTGCTCAGCAAGGAGCATTCCTGCTGTCACCCCAGAGGAACTGGAGAGAGAAACTGCAAATCCATTCGTGGTTGCATTGTTGATAAAAACTTGAGTGTCTTGAACACTGTCATAGTGAAAAAGAGTGAACGGGGCATTCTGGGGCTGACTGACACAACCCTGTCATCTTGGTCCCGAGAGGAGCAGCAGACTCCCCAAGCTGTTCAGCCTGTCTAAGAAGGATGATGTTCAGCAGTATGTTGTGAAGAAGCCTCTGAACAAGGGGGGGCAAGAAACCAAGACTCCTAAAATCCAGTGACTAGGGACTACTCAAATGCTGCAGCATAAGCACAGGCATATTGCTCTGAAGAAGCACTGCACTCAAAAGAACAAGGAGGAAGCAGCAGAATACAAAGCTCTTGGCCAAGAGAATGAAGGAAGCCAATGGGAAATGCCAGGAGCAAATTGTGAACTGGAGCTGGTTTTCTTCATTGAGAGCAGCTTCTACATCTAAATCAAGGCAGAAGTAAGGACATTGTATGTGATACTAAAACGATACTGTACATGGTGCTACCAATAAATCCCTTTTGTGGTGAACTTAAAAAACCCCCAGCATTAAAGCCAAAATAAAATCATCACAACAGAAAACAAAAATGAACAATTTGCATGAAATTCACTCCTTGATCCTTCACCACAATTACAAGAAAAATTCCTCATGATCATTCTGCTCTATAACACTTAACTTTCAGTACTTGTTTTGTCCATTACTTCTCCCAGTTACTGTCCTTATCTGAAAATCTTCATGATTGCCCACATTCTCCAGTAAGAAGCCTGGGTTAACCTGGGCCAGATGCCAGGCCCCCCCTAAGCCACTCTCTCTCTCCTCTCCGCAGCTGGACAGAGGAGAAAAAAATTAATGAAGAGTTCATGTGTTGAGATAAGGACCTGTAGAGATCACTCATCAAATACCATCACAGGCAAAGCAGGCTCAACTTAGAGATATGAAGTGAATTTATTACTAAAAAATCAGAGCAGGATAATAAGAAGTAAAATAAATCCTTAAAAACACATTCCCCCACCCTATTCCCTCCCTCCCAGCTCTACCTCCTACCCCAGCAGCGCAAGGAGACGGAATGGGGGCTGTGGTCGCATCATCACCCAGGGCTTCTCTCGCTGCTGAGGGAGAGGAGTCATTCCCCCGTGCACCGTGGGATCCCTCCCACAGGAGACAGTTCTCCATGAACTTCTCCAGCATGGCTCCATCTCATGGACAGCAGCTCCCTGCCAGTTACTAAAGTGTGAGTCCATCCCATGGGCAGCAGCACCCCTCAAACACTGCAGCAGTGGGTCACTCTTCTGTGGGGTGCAGTCCTTCAGGGACAGGCTGCCCCAGCCTGGGAGCAGGGCCCTCTTCCCACAGGTCTCCCGCAGCTACAGGCTCCTCTCGGGCACATCCACCTGCTCGGTGTGGGCTCCTCCAGGGCTGCAGGAGATCTCTGCTCCCCTCTGGGCCTCCAGGGGCTGCAGGGGCACAGCTGCCTCACCAAGGGCTGCACCCCAGGCTGCCGGGGAATCTCTGCTCTGGCTCCTGGAGCAGCTCCTGCCCCTCCTCCTTCACTGACTTTGGTGTCTACGTGTTGTTCTCATATATTCTCACCTCCTACTCTTCTCTGTCAGGGATTAAAACTTCACCACAAACTTTGTTTTGATTTCTTCTTAAATATGTTATCACTGAGGTATTGCTATCATTTCTAATTGGCCCAGCATCACCGTCTTTGGAGCCGCCAGGGATTGGCTTTGCTGGATATGGAAGAAGCTTTTAGCAGCTTCTTACAGAAGCAACCCCCGTAACCCCATCCTGCTACAAAAACCAGGCAATGTAAAACCAATCCAACTACAAATCATATTTGTAATGCATATATTTGTGGTTTTACACACTGAAACTCTTTTGTAGAAATGCATGTCTTACAGAATCACTGTTTACCAAAGAAGGGGATTCTGATGCAATGATGGGTAGAAGATGCAGCTTGACTAGATGATCGTTGTAGGTTCCTTCCAACAGAATAATTTTCTACTCTACTCTGCTTTGCTGTACTGTACTGTACTCTACTCTGCTCTACTCTACTGTACTCTACTCTTCTCTGCTTTAGTCTCCCTAACCTACCTGTTGTAAAATTATTCTGTTTGATGATTAACCTGAATGACTTTAAAAATGAAAGTATTCACTTTCAGGAGTAAGCGACTTTTTTTACCTTGTGATTTCAGCATGGTGAAATTCAAGTTTTTGTAGGACTGGGACCAGTTCATAAATGTGCAGTCTGATGCCCTAACAGTAATTCTTTGCCTGTGCATTCACAGTCAGTAGCAGAAATAATCTGGATGTAGTTTGTCCTGTTTGCCTCATCTTGCTACCAGTCATAGAGCAGAGCTCTCTGCTTAGCTCATTTGGTTGAACTCAGTGCTGAATACTTCTATTTAATGTACAGATGAAATGTATTATTTACAGATGACTAGGTATACATGTTAGAATGGAAAGACTTACACACATTCTGTCCCAGTCCAGCATGCTTTCTTGGTTGCAAGTGTGAATGCCTCATTATCTCTACTCATTTGTTTCTAATTTTTCTGTATGCTGATGTAATGTGCAAAGCCCATTGATAAGTAACCCCTGCAGAGCATACAGAGTGTTAGTCAGTCAGCCAGGGCACATTCATCTCTGGTGCACATATGTTGGATTTCATAACTGCCTGCCAGGATTTCTGGGTTGCCATCACAGCAAAGGAAGAGCGAGTACAAAGACATTCAGGTAAGTACACTCAGCTCAGTAGAGAGACTGTAAACTGAAGGTTGCTTGTGCTGTTTTAAGTGATGGAAAAATATTGTATGGAAAAGGCAGATATATGAGTATATTATTTTAATGCTTTAAAGATATCGGTTCTCAGCCTCACTGAAATGACAAGTTACTGTAACGATTGGTTATTTTTACCGTATTTCTTCATGACCTGGTGAATTTTAGTAGCTAAAAGGCACAAACCATTGTTTAGGCAGAATTTGCTATGTATAGTGCAGAAAAGTTACGGACACTTCCTGTGAAACAGAAATGAGGATCCCCTTACTGTTTAATCTGTGCGTTCCCAGCCCAGAGTCCTCCAAAGCACAGTTCAGCAATCTACTTCAGCATCTACTAATGCCAGTTCTGGGAAATGGCAGAAGTAGATTATGTACTTGAAAAACACATGGTCATAGAATCATTGAATATCTGGAGCTGGAAGGAACCAGCAAGGATCATCGAGTCCAATTCCTGGCCCTGCACAGGACAGCCTCCCACCATGTGCCTGAGAGAATTGTCCAAGTGCTTCTTGAGCTCTTGGTGCCGTGATCACTTCCCTGGGGAGCCTGTTCCAGTGCCCAACAACCCTCTGGGTGAAGGTGTTTGTGCATGTTTCTTGTTTCAAGGTGCTGAATTGTATTTTTAAAAATAGCCTAAGAATACACATAGGACACTAATTTCAGGAGTTTTGGAGTCAGTGGAGGTAGATTAATTCCTAAATAGAGTGTATCTTACCTGTACACATCTCTTTTGCTGTTCCTATTTATTATCTTTTTTGCTGTTCCAGTAAGGCAGATACAAGCCTGTTTTCCAAAAGGGAAAATCTTGACTTAAAAACAATTCAGTCATTAAAATGTTGTCCATGCCAAAAGAGTCTAAAACCTTTGTCGTGGAAAAATGATGAATACAAGTCAGTTTGCAGAGGGAGAACTGATCTTTGCCTGCTTTATTTGTTTAATCATCTAGTGAGTGACTAAATGAAGGTCTTCACTTTGTTTTGAGCTGTGTGTATATCACTTGGACAGGATCTGCCATCTCCAGACACACTTGTGTTGTCTGTACAGGCTGAACATTATCATCAGTTCAGATTTAAGTGTTTTGAATCGGGGGAGTGGTAAGATCTGAATTGCTGTGTGCAAAGAGAAAAAAACTATATGAACTGAATATGCCAGTTATGTCTTTTCAGGCTCTGAGGAGCTGGGAAGTGGAAGCTATGGGCATCGGTACGTCACAGACACAGTGACTGGTGATGGTGATGGATTTGATATTGATGATTCAGACTATGACATTTATATAGAAGAGGTAAATGTCAAGATTTGTCTTTGGCACTTCTGTTTTCTTTGTAGTCTGGATATTTTAAAGTGTCCAGTCCTGTCAATACATTTAATATCTGATATTAAGTGCTTAGATATAGTGATGTGGTCACTTCTTTTTCTTCATTGAGGATGAGTTTGTTGCCTCAATTTGTATCTTGAAAGGTATTAATTTCATTTTCCCATAGCATTTTAATTGTACTGAATTGGTGTTTCTTTACTTCCTTTCAGCTCAGACCACTTCCTGCTATTAAAGGAGGCAACAGAAAATTTCTGGTCGAAACTAAGGTCACTCCAGGGTCTAGTTCCAGGCTCCTGTCACGGGTCCTAACAACCACTTCTGAGCCCACTACTTCCACTGCTGCCAGCACACAGCCTGCCAGCACGGCGAGGGCAGCGCGGAGGGGCAGCGCGTCGCCTGCCGCGCGCCTCTTCGACCTGCCCTGCGACGAGGCCGTGTGCTCTGCAGACAGCTTCTGCATCAACGACTACGACCGGGGCGGCTCACGCTGCCACTGCAACTTGGGCAAAGCAGGGGACACGTGCGAGGAAGGTAGGTTTCTGTGTGCCCACTGCTGCTGGCTGTTCTTTGTCTGGGTCAAGGAGCGGCTTTGCAAAGAGCTCACCAATGCGCACTTTGGGAATAGCCCGCTGGGCTTTGTGGATCCCTACCAGTGGCAAATTGCAGTTCAGGCATCACCCCCTTTGCCTTTTTTTCCTCAGTGAGGTGGGAAAAATTCATTCCTTAATAAAGGTGAATGCAGAACCTGTGTCAAGATGCACAGAGGCAGTTAATTGTCATTCCCCTACCTAAGAGTCATTGGTGGGGCAAGTACGTTGTTAATCACCCAGGTTAACAGGATCCAGTCATGGCACCCTCAGATGGAAGCTGAAGACATTCAACCCCTCTTTGACATTTGCATTTTGGCAGCCGCTGAAGCCCTGAACCACCCCCATTTTCTGTGTGGTCCAGATGATGCTGGTCCCACAGCAGGGATGTGAGAAAACTCCCATTATAAAAATACCTCCAGAGGAGGCTTTCCCCATCGTCTGCAAGTCTGCAGTGCAGCACTCATGTCAGGCAAACTGGGGCAACGGGGGAAAAAAATCTCATCTGCAGTTCAAAAAGCATGTCCTGAAGGCTGACTCAATGTGAGGTTGGTGTTGTTTCACCCAGTCCCATCCTATTGCCTCTTTTCAGGGCAGCTGAGCCATGGCAGGAACTTGCTGAGCTGAAGGAGGCTGTCCTGCTGCTTCTTCCCTCACTGCCTTCTTGTTCTTTCCCTCTAGAGACCTAAACCCACCCTTTCACAAGGTTAACACTGAGCAGATCGCCTGGTGAGCCAGTCCAGCTCCCCCACTGGGCCATAAGCAGGTCACTTTTTCCCCCTGAAGTAATTTTTCCTCTGGTTTGGTGACCAAGGGGTCAGATGAATGGCAGAGCTCATGAAAAGAAAATGTCCCATTGGCTGTAGTGGTGCTGTTCCTCCAGCTAAGAAGGAGCTGATCTGCCCATCCCTCTGCATGCTGATCTGATCTGCCAAGACCATGCCATAGAGCAGAGCATCAGGGACCCAGGTTTCTTGTGCAGGGTCATGTTAGACTTTCATGTTGCACAGCATCATGCATCACGGATACAGACAGTGAGGGTGCTTCATCTTCTTAAACTGGAGTGCTGGAACAAAAAGAGCTCCTTCTGAAAACAATTTGGTGTGACTCAGCGACGTGGAACAGCTGCAGCTATGATTTTAGGCCTTGATCAAGTATGAAGAGTTGAGGATTTATTTTAACTGACAAGGCCATATACAACTTGTAAAGCAGTCTATTAACACCCGTCAAAACCCTCTTGTTTTTCACAGGGCAGGGTGTTACTCCAAAGTAAACATCATGTGCCAATACTCCTTTGTACCGAGTTTGTCTTCAGCAGCCAGTATTGTTAAAAAATACTTTAATCTGAATAGAAACAGACTTTTCTTCACATTCAACAGCTGCCTGGCACTCTGGTCCAGTCAGTTCTGCTTGTGATCAGGACATGACATAATTTTCTCTGCTGAGGCTGCATTCAGGTTTATAGCACCAATCCCCTTCAACTCAGCCTAAAATGTGTGCCTTGCAACCAAAAATGCTGAGAGAACTCTAACCAGATTCAAAAACTGAGTGAGAAAACCTCAGTATTTAAATAGCAAAGAGGAATAGAGATCCTCATCCTTCCTTCCTCATTAGAGTAAAATCCATTGTCAATACAAAAACTCAAGCCTGAAAGAGTGCTTCTTAGGAAAATACGCTGCAAAGGTAATTTTACAGCTGACAGTGGCCAGCAGTAAGACATCTCTAATTTTCGTTTTCTCTCAGGGTCCGGGTCTGACACAAGACAGCAGAGGGTGAGGGTTGATAATGCCATTTGACAAGAGCAATAAAAAGAGCCATTGTTGCAGCCAGGGATGGAAAGATGCCTGCAAGGACTCTCTTCTCCCCATCACTCCTTTTAGCTTCTGCCCTGAGCTGACTTGAGTGAAGTGCTGGAAGCTGCTGGGCTGTTATGAGACATCCAGTGATTCTCCAGATGCTGGATGCAGCAGCTACAGAGTAGCAGTGACTAATGCTGCCTAGAGTCTGGCCATATTTCCCATGTGTGTTTTTGTAATCCTGCAAAACAAACAATCACTTTGTCCTCTCTTTCTTAAATCAGTTCTTAAAAGAAGATAAATATAAAGTTGATGTGGTCTTTATTCTGTAACAAGGATGAAAACCTGCTGAAATTTCCTCTGAACTCTCTGATTAAGCTATTGAGCATTATTTGGCCCTCAGTATCCTGTTTCTTTCCAAGTTCACTAGGTCCTTGGGAATAAAGGAATTAGCTGTAAAAAGTGGTGGGAGGACAAGACAATAGGTTAACTGATTGTTGTCTGCTACTGACTAATGGTTGTCTCTGGAGGAACTCTGCCTTTCATTGCCACCTGATGTTATCTAGTACTAAATGTGTATATTGATTTTTGTTAGGAAGAAAATGGCTAAATGACATGCTTCCCTCTTTGCTTTTCAGACATTAGTATCCAGTACCCCCAGTTTTCTGGCTACTCATATATCACCTTTGAACCGCTGAAGAAGTCCTATCAGACATTTCAAATTACCCTTGAATTCAGGGTAAGTTAAAGCAATTCTCACATTGGTGTTTTAAATTTTATTTACTTACTCTGATGTGGTGGACAATAGAGCAGTAACTTAGCTTCAGTATAGCTTCAGTGTAATTGTGGTGAACGTGTGTGTAACCTTCATCTGCAAAGATCTGGCTCAACCCTCAGTGAATGTAAATTAAGTTTGTAAGCAGCTGAAGGGTTTTCATCCATTGTTGGTAGGCACTGCATGAGAGAATCCCTGGACTAGTAGTTGTGGACTAGCAGTGATGTACATTGGCAAGGTTACAGTCATGTGGATGAGCTACAGGCTGAAGAACACAGAATTTTTGTGAATTAGAGTTTGCAAGTGGTATGCAGTATCTTTATGGACAAGAGATGATGATCCTGTCATACTAGCCAAAATACTGCCCTATATATAGCATTCATTTCTCACCCTGCAGGATTTAGATGGACATTGTTTTCCCCCTCTGAAGTTTGGGACACAGGCTACTAATACATTCAGGATACCATACTACTTAAAATGCAGGACTAAAGTGTGGATAGATCCCGTGCTGGCTTGTGTTAGTGCTGTCTGTTTGTTATGGACAGGGGATGTAGGTCTGCCCCTAGGGAGGGTGGCCAAGCTCTCGGGTGCATCCCCACCCCCACGTAAAGCAGACTCAGCAGCCTCACAGTCTGGGAAGGAGACTGTTACTAAAGCAGCAGTAATCAGTTGCCTCAGTGGTGATCTTACACTCCTCTGGCAATTTGCCATTCTAAAACACAGGATGACTGCAAGAAGCCACTGTGTCAGCTGCTGTGAGCATATGGAGAAATGCTGCCAGCACAGCTTGTTTGGCTTAGAGGAGTGTCAGTCTCATGGAACATGTGAAGTAGGGTGTATGTATTCATGCACACTGAGTCTGATGTGTCTACACTTACCAGGCTTGCCAGGACATTCTTGCTAGACTTTTTACTTGGGAGTCTCGTATGGGATATCTGACAGTCTTTAATACTTCCAGGCTTTTTTTCAGGTCTGACAATACCCCACTTTAAGAGATGGTCTTAAATTGTTTAACCATTAAGGCAGTGATTTTCTAGGTTTTTCAAATGCAGGATTCCAAACTGATCAAACAATTTCTGATTCGGCAAGTTAAAAACTCATTCTGAAAAATGATGACTCTTTTCTGGAGAAAAGTCCCCCCACTGCTGCTTGCTTTTATCTGCAATTGTGAGGCTTTGATTTTTCATATTGGCACAATGATTGCAGGCTGAATCTGAAGATGGTTTGCTGCTGTACTGTGGAGAAAATGAACATGGTCGTGGTGATTTTATGTCACTGGCAATTATCCGACGTAGCCTCCAGTTCAGGTAAAACCTCCATCCTAAATCTGATGCAAAGAGAAAGTGCCCCCTGGGACTGCTATATATGGTGAATATCTCCAGTGTCTTTGACTTCTGCCCCATACAGTGCACCAAATGGACAGTATAGTTTCATTTAAGAGTATTTTAATACTTTTTTCTCTCATCTTTCTTTAGTGTGTGAACATGTGCCCTGTTGATCTCTTTTATTCAGACTTCAGTGTAAAGGCAAAATGATCAGTTTTCTTTAAGGCATTTGTCTGGGGCTCATAGCTGTGTTACCAGCGATGCCAGTGAGCCACTGTATTTGCTAAGCTGATGGTGTATTGAGTCAGTGTTTTTGCTTCACAGAAAAAGGCTTGCAGATAATGTAGCAAAACAGAGGATGTAGTGCCAGCAAGGGGCCAGGAACTTCATCTTACATGCTGTGTTGAGATGATACCTTGTTTAGGTTTTTTAAATGAAGATGGAGAGTGTTTCTTGCAGTCTGACAGATATGAAGCAGGTGAAACAGTATTTCCAGGCTCTCCTAAATTGGGAGGATGAGTCCTTTAGAAGGGGGGAATAACGAAGTGGGTGATGTGCCTTAGTTGTGTTTCTGTTCACCTGCACTGCATGACAGTCAGGGAAAATGGGACATTTTGTGCACATTCAGCTCTCCTGGAGGTCTTCCTGTCAATTGGCACTGAGTTTCAAATAGACTAGCAGAGTTATTAATGTATCACGCCTTTCACCAGGAAGCTAGAAAAATTCCCAGGAGAAATTACTGTGATAGCAGGAGCTCAGATTGTAATACCCTCCATCTTGAAACAGTTTCATCTGTTGGCAAGCCTAGTAATGCACTCGGTATGGGCAGAGAATGCAAAATCTTCTCCACATTGAAAGACAGATAATGAAGTTTGAAATTTGGAACAGATCTTATATAGACTTGCTGTCTGAATTTCCTGTGCTAATATGCAGTGTGCAACAGAGAGGTTCCTGAGTGCAAAAATAATATTTGAAGTCTAAAACCAACTTTGGTTATTTGGTCAATGTAAGATTATCACCTTGCCCTCTCTATCTCATGCTCCCAGGTTCAACTGTGGCACGGGAGTTGGAGTCATAACGAGTGAAAACAAAATCAAGCTGGGGAACTGGCACAGTGTCACATTGTTCAGAGATGGGGTGAATGGCTGGCTTAGGATGGACAACAATGCTCCAGTGACAGGAAAATCTCAGGTTGGTAATCCTGCCCCTGTGGCTCGATCCTGGGGTCTCTCAAGGTTGTGATGATGTTTCTTTTCTTGCCACCAGAAGCCTGATCAGATGGAAAAGGTGCAGTTTTATTTATTGGTGTTAGGACATTTAGTGAACTAGGATCAGAGTACAGATTACTCTTTCAAATACATAATCTAGAAATCACAGAGATAAATATCTCAGGCTGATTCCCATCACAGTTTCTCTGTTGTGCTCCATGTTTGCTCTGCCACCCTTCAGCTACCCTATGCCAGTCTCAAATACAGGCCATGAGAAGTTTACTAGATTTTACAGCTGCTGTCCCTGATTGCTTTCTTTTTCAACCCTCAGAGAACTGTTCTGCTGCCTCAGACATAAAAATTACATGCATATGTGTGTATGAGTATATATTTTATATTTATTTATGAGTATAAGATGCATATATCCACAGGAGATTTGTGTGCAGAGGTATAATTACATGCATATTCTGGACAAAGATTCAAGCATAGTAATGGAGATAGACCTTCTGCCCTGACTTATGTTAACACCAGCAAGTTCATACAAGGCTGACAAGATAAAATATAATACAGGAAGATGCTTTGACTTGCTCATCTGTTGCTGGGCTAGAAAACAAAATTAAGGCACTGGAAGAAAAAGCAATTTCAAATTGTTTCAGATGTCTTTCCTTTGATAGCTACTATTAACATGCCATCCCTAGCCCTGAAAGAAAGCAGCTTCAGATCTCTTATTACTTTCCACTTTTATGTGCAGGCACTGAAGAGAAAAAATTGCAGTGTATTGAGTTCTCATCAGCTGGAAATGACAGAGGAAAGAATTTCAGTGTGTCATGTGTTGCTGCTACCAATGCTATGAGGCCATGCAAAGGGCGGATGTGAATCAGGAGAGATATGTACAGCTTCTGCAGTGTGCTGTGCAAGTGAACATCTGCAGACTCAATACCCTCAGCTTATTTAGCCCGGCCAAATACAGGCTATGGTGATAGAATATATTGTTATAAATGCTATGGGGGCAGGGCAGGGGTGCCCTGGAAGATTTTAGGCTAGAGGTCAGTGCAGGTTGGTAAAACCTGGCCCTGAATAACTGAGAATTTTGAATATTCTAAAGGTCCATGGGGTTTTGAAAGAGCTGTTGAGTAGGAGGCAAAAGTCATATTTTGATCAGTTTGTGGAAGGCATTTTGACTCATGTGGCTGCAGTAGCATGGAGTTTGGGTCAGTGGTCCAAAAAGATTCTGTTGGTTTTGATGTTTTTTGTTCTTTCACTGTAGCAATTTTAGTAAACTTGCATATGTAGGTTCCTACAGATTTGTTAAAGAGATGGGCAGTACATTTAGCAATGGCAAAGTGAGCAGAACCCTGCTGAAGTTGCAACTTTATTGGCTTTTGCCTTTTCTTTGTTTTTTACTTTTTCTTTGTCATTTCATAATTATTAAGTACCGAACGCTTGCTGGGTTCTGTCCAAAAGACATTATCTCATTGGTCTATCCCTCAGGGCTTACAGTTTAGGAGACAAACAATTTTTTGGCAGAAAGAAGGGAAGAAATTACAGCAAAAGACAGACCATGCTTTCTCCTCCAAACAGTGATTTCTAGTCTTTTTTATTGTGCTTTTAGTAGTTCGTGTTATCGTGATGGGATGCAGGTGAAAAAGGTTGATTTCAAATGGTGGACTGATTTAGGGAATGACTAACAGGAAGGAATTACCAATGAACAACATTCCCTGACACAGTTCTTCATGGAGGAAAAAAATGGATTGTAAACCACTGTGGCTTAATGATTTCTCCTGTTATATCTGTTACACAGCATGCTGTGCTTTGCTCTCCCTTCAGGGCCAGTACAGCAAGATCACATTCCAGACTCCCTTCTACGTTGGCGGTGCTCCCAGCGTGTACTGGCTGGTCAGGGCCACCGGCACCAACCGCGGCTTCCAGGGCTGCGTCCAGTCGCTGAGCATCAATGGAAAGATAATTGACATGAGACCCTGGCCATTAGGGAAAGCTCTCAGTGGTGCTGACGTCGGTGAGTGTAATGGTGTGGGGTCTTTAGTCAGTGTTATAACTGATAACTCCAGGTTATCCTTTTGGGACAAATTGAGTGAAGGTCCAGGTTTGGGAGGGGGAAGGCACAGTCTCTATTTTTGGTCTGGCTTTCCTCTGTTCCTTTGCACATTGCTCTTGCTGGGTCTGTCGTAGGACAGTTCATCACACTGCACAAGCAAGCCCTTTGTGGACACACTGTGCGCAGTAAATAGTAAACCCATTTTCGTGAGCGAACAGTAAGATCTGTGTTGCAGATATCATTACAAGCGCGCCGGTATTTCTGCCAGCAGCTCTCAGGCACCTCTTCATGCCCCTGACTGACACAGGCCTGTCATCAGAAATCAATAGTATGCATGCTGATCTTGTGTTTGAAACAGTACAGACCCAAAAGATATCATTGCCTAAAGATATCATTGCACTTGTCCAAAGTAACACGTGGATCTCTCAGGCCCACAGCAGCCCTGTGGGTGTTACAGAGGGCTTTCTGTGTTACACCCAGCCACTGCTGAAGCATATAGGCTTTCCTGTATACCATCCTTTGTTTTGCTATCCAGAGTTGTGGTATGATTTAAAAATAGCTTGGAATAAATACTTCCAGCAGCTTTATGAGGTGTTATTATAAAATTATTTTCCCTTCACAGAGTAAAAGATGGAGAAGTAGGGAAGATAATTAACTAGTCCTGTCTCATTTATTCATCTATTTAATCCCTTTAATGGGCACTTGAAAAAAGGCAGGGCAACAAAATCCTTGCTTTAATGATCTCCCAGTCTAAACAGTATAAAAATAAGGGTAAACCCAAGACAGAAGGCAAGTGCTAACAGCAAGAAATAGATTCCATACCACTGAACTCTCCCTGCCATGCTTTGGCCACAAAGTCATCTTTCTTCTCTTCTGTAGCTGTGCATTTGACATGCCAAGAAGGAAATGATTTATGAGAAACTTCTTAACAATTGCTCTGTATTCTCTAGATAACATGGCCAAACTTCTGTGCAATATAGGAGTAGAACAGACTGGCCAAAGAAACAGTTGCTGAAAAGAGTAAGATTTTGGAGTCAGAGTGTAATTTCATGAGAGTGAGAATCTATGGAATTTAGACAGATGAAAGCCCTGCTGAACTTCTCTAGCCCTAATCTCTATTGCCATTTGGGATGCAGCTAGCTTCATTCCCATCCATGAATGCTCCACACACTGCTGCATTAACAATCAACATCAATGAAAAGAAATGCTGTGTTCTGCCATGTGTGACTTGAAACTGACTGATAAAGCCTTGCTGTCCTTGTGTGACTGCACACATTTATATGAAACTGCACCAGAAGAGACTTGCAAACAATAGGTCATGTAAGTATAACTCAAAAAAATTGCAAGTAAGCTCTGCTAGGGCTTAGGAATGACTTTTGCGAGTCAGTCACTTGGAGATTTTTTTCTGTTGGCACAGTATATAAATCAGGAGTGCTGTGCTACATGGATCATAGAACTGAGGGTGGCGAGCAGAGGAGTCCATCCATCTCTCTGCTCTCTCTTCTGGCTATAGCAGAGGTCCCACTGTGGGCTGAGGGACCAACAGAGGATGGTCCAGCCACTGGGCATGGTTTGGAGCAGGCATGGCAGAACCTGGGATTCCTGCTGCAGCTTCTCTCCTTCTTCATCTGCCATTGGAGCCAAGCAAATGCAGCCACCACACTTGTGGTTTGCCTCTTCAGCATAGTCACCTATGCTGGCACAAAGGCTGTGAAAAGCCACTGGGACATTGGGAGAGCAGCCTGTCAAATATCAAGACTACTCCAGTTCAAGCCGTTTCTCAAATCAGGGATCCCATGACTGGTCTGTTGCTGTTGCCTTCCTTGTTCTTTTCTGTTTCTCAAAGACTTTGTTTAAGTCTGATCTGTTTGAACATACTGCCAACATTAACGCTGGAGCAGATACAGCAAAGATGAGCATTGTCAATCACCTCAAGCTGCAAAACTGTTCCCCAGTGTTTATTACCAGAATTGACTCATGAAACCTTTGTCATCTCAGAGCTGATACTTCAATGTCCCTCAAAATAAATATGTAATTCTTAGAATTACATTAAATATGTAATTCTTTACTATAAGACACTAAGCCCCTCCAAATGATGTGCTTACCATTGTACACCACAACTTGGTCTTTCTTAATGTATACAAACTGATACAAGTAATCAGTTTGTTACTATTGACATGGGGAGAGTTATTTGATCAGAAAGTAAAGGAGAAAATAAATTCAACAAGAACTTCAATCAGGTGTACATTTGGCAGTTTATAGTTTGGCTTTATAGGTACCAGTTTTAAGAAGCAAATGAGATTTTATTTTTTCTACAACAATTTCAGCTAAAATCCAGCAGGAAGAAATAACCTTCTTGTTATTTAAGTTGATATGCCAGCATAATAGAGATGCTTCTTACAAAGCCCGTATGTTGATGATATGGATGCCTTTTAGTGTGGACAAGAAGGTTGACAGCCCCATTTTGGCTAATAAGATTAGTTGATGATTAACACCTCCCATGCTGAGCATGGCATGAATTTATAGTGAACAAAGAAGCACTTAAGATAATTGAAACTAAACCAGGCTTAGTGCATGTAAACAATTTAGAGAAATTTGTATCTTATGAGAAAATAGGAAAAAGAGCAGACAATAAGTAATCCAAGGAATGAGTATAAGTTACATTTATTATGGTTTGCTTATAAGGGCTATTTTTTGCTATTTATAAGGTCTCTTGCTGGTCTGACATTAAAAAAAAATAATAATCAAGTTCCCTTGTCTAATTTGCACACCATTTGTTAAAATGGGAAAGAATCTAGGTATAAGAGCAAATTGTGTTGGTTAGTAGCAGCGATCAACAGCCAAATAAATCTTCTTTGACAAACTTCTCGATAAATTGATTTTCTGACTCCTGTGTTTAGGTGAGTGTAGCAGTGGCATCTGTGATGAGGCAGCCTGCATCAACAGTGGCACCTGTACTGCAAGCAAAGCAGACTCTTATATTTGCCTTTGTCCTCTTGGATTTAAAGGTCATCATTGCGAGGAAGGTGAGTGGTTACTGGGATGCCTCTATTTCTTTGTGTGTGTTATTTAGTGTTCGATGTGTTTTCCACTTAGAGACACCAGAGGAGGTCTCATACTGTTGCACTGACAGAAGAGAATACTTGTTACTTTATCTTCTTAAAAGTCACGTACTGAAACCCTTCCCTTACTGCTTTGGAGCTACATCCCACTCCTACGTAATCTGTGATTCTCAAACTTCTTTGCTTATTTAAACTAACTGTACTTAAGCATCTTGAAATTCCTGTTCGGAAGTTAAAATAATGTACCCATCCACAGCTGCACATTAATCCTAATAAAATACCCACCTTTCTCCTAAAACCAGTGTCAGCTGTGTATTTTGAAATGCAAATAACATAATGTCAATTGCCTGCTAATATCAGAGATAGAAGTAGTAAAATACATCTGGCACTATTTTTTATGCTGTAGAAATTTTCATGCTATCACCCATTGTGTGCATGCTTGCTACTTTGAAAGGCACTATTATGAATCGTAAAGAAAAGGTACAAAATGCTTTACAGTACAAATCCTTGGAAAAGGAAGGGATTAACTAGTATTGGGTAGTATTATAAAATATTTGTAATTTAGATAAAAAAAAAATAGTTTTGCTAATCATTAGCTTAAATACTTAACCCAAGGAACAGACAGTGGTTGGTAAGAGTCAGTCCTTTATGTTTGAGCCTCAAGTGACCTGCTTGTGATTTCTGGATTTCCAGCACTCACCTTGGCCATACCTCAGTTCAACGAATCCTTAAGATCATTTGCTAGCACACCCTGGCCCTTGGAACCACAGAATTACCTTTCCTTCATGGAGTTTGAGCTGACATTTCGTCCAGATTTAGAGACTGGTGTCCTTTTGTACAGCTATGACACAGACAGCAAGGACTTCCTCTCCATCAACATGGTGGCTGGCTACGTGGAGTTCAGGTTCGACTGCGGCTCAGGAACGGCTGTTATCAGGTAAATGGTGCTGTAAAATCACTACGCTGGTGCTTCCTTCCCAGCAGTGCCACACTGCTGATCCAGGAGAGGAGTGGGCTGGAAAGGGTCACAGCCTATGATGAGGTGTGCAGACCCCTTGGTCTCTTGTGCCTGCTTCTGAGGAAGCACAGAAGCACTATTAAGCACAATAATTTTGGTCAAGGGGGCAGGATTTTTTCCCTACATCAGTGTATTTCAAAGCTTTATGCTTTGTCTTCCTACAGATGTTACATTTGTGTCTGTATGGTATTGCAGTAATTCACTTCTTGCCCCCATGGCGCTGTTAGGGGATCTATAAATATTTTATGCGTATACTTTCTAGCCACAGGATTTCACAATGTTGGCGCTTGCGTGAGCATCCTCCTTTCTGGTTTCCAGTTCCAAGGAGGGGTGCCAGGCTGGAAATGGCACAAGAAGATACACCTCCAGGTCCTTCCACTTCCTCAAAGTGCTGTTTTTTGATGGACCTGAGGCTAGTATCCAATTTATGCAACGTAAGCTGTCTAAAACATAAATATGTGGTTTGACCTGGTCACCAAGGTTCTCAGACAGACCTTCTGTGAGTGACCCATTGCAGCCTAAAATTAATGTTTAGGAGGATAGAAGCAGCGAAATGCCTCAAAAATGCTGCTCTCTCTCCCTGTGTAACTGAGTGTCCAGTCACTGGCAACTGTTCCTGGGCTTTCTGAAACGGCACTGGGCTGGACAGAGGCACTGAGTGTCTTGGATATGGCCCAGGAGGCTGCCAGTTTGACCAGGCTGACCTGGTATTTAGAAATTTTCTATATAAAGCTTATGCAAAATGTGTGCACTGTCTGCAAGTCTTGCATACCAATGATTCCTGTGGATGGGCATCAGGAATTTTGACTATACTGTGATTAGGGAAAATGTACTGATTTTACAGTGAATGAGGATTCAAGCTAACAAACTCATTCAGTTTTGCAGACAAAATTAGATATGAAATAGAAAGGGAGCAAATGCAAAATAATGCACAAGCCTAACAATGCACAGCTGTGGAAAAACAGTTAGTGTTGTCAGACAGAGAAAGATCCTGGAGTCATCATGGATAGTTCTGTGGAAGCAACAGCAAACTGTTTGGAGACAAATACAGAAACCTAAGTAAAATGCAGAGAATTATTAGGAATGGAATAAGGAAGAATGTCTCTGCTGAAGCCCACAATGCACCCTGTTTTGAAAACTTGCTGCTATTCTGGTCACATCATTTCAAAAGAAATTAGCAGAATTAAAAAGGGAGAGTAGTTTTGCCATACAGGAGAGGGAATGAAACATCTTCCACAAAACTCTTCCACAGCCAGACCTTTCAGCCTGGAAAAGAAGGAGTTTGGTGGAAGTATGATAGAGGTTTTAAAATAATGAATGGCATGGAGATTAATGAGTATTCTGTATTTTTTCAATATGCAAAGAAAATAAGGAACCAAAGAAAATAAGACTTTTTTTCTTTGGGTTTGGGGTTTGTTTTTTTTTCAGAGGAGTACATAAATAAGTTGTGGAAACTAATCATCACAGCAAGTTACAGATGCCAAAACTATAAATAGGTTAAAAAAAAGTTGGACAAATTTGAAGAAAGCTCCATTGAGGGAGATCAAACGCAGTTGTACGGATGCAGGCTATGACTCAGGAAATTGCTAAATGACAAGTTGCCAGAAGCTGAGAGATATATCAAGGGAAGAATCACTTCATACTTGCCCTATTCTATTCTCTTGCTGAAAAGTGGCAGAAATAGCTAATTTTGGAGACCTTTTCTCCAACTCAGAATAGCCTTTCTTACAGCAGCCTTCAATCTCTACTGATTGCAGCCTTCTAATTCCTGTTACTGGCAACCATGAAATATTAAAGTAGATTTTTTTTTTCTTCCAAGAATATTGTAGCACTTCAAAACACCTTGTACTAAAGTTTAACTGATATGTAGAGTTATGAAATGTAGAGACAGCCACAACCATATGCCTGGGAGTAGAAACTGCCCCTTTCTGCTGGAAAGCAGAAGAGCAAGCTGGATGGCAGCTACTCCCTGAGCTACATGGACTGGAGGAAAAGAGTGTGGTGAGGTAGCTGAGGAATGGGTGAGACTCAGGAGACCATCAGGATTCAGTGAAAGTTGTCAGGCTATCCTGTTAGCTCCTTTTCTAGACAAAGTGTGCAACTCGCACCCTGTCATCAGCTCTGTTAGTGATTAAATAAGATAAATAGATACCCTGTTTTTCATGCCTGCCTGGTCAATATCCAGTTAAAACTCCATCTTAATCATACTATGTCATGCCTACACTGTGTCTTTAACAGAGATATAGCTCTGGTCATCCTGACACCTCTGCCGTAGGTAGGGCCACCAGGTTGTTAGATATTATATTATAATCAGAACACAGCCATAATAACTTTATAATTAGGATGAGGCAAGCTTATTTGTGTACGTCAGCAGCAGCAGGAGGAGAGCTGGTGAAGGTCGTGATTTCCTGATGTATCCCAGGATGGAAGCAGCACAGTGTGCTCTGGGGGCTCCACAGGCAGAAGGGATGCAGAGTGGGTGGCCAGATGCAGAACCTGAGCACTGAAATGTCTCAGAGGAGAAGTTGTTGGGAATTCCCTTGGCCAAGCAGGATCAAGATCTTCATGGTCTGGTATATTTTTTAAACTTTGGTTTGCATGGGAAAAAGTAACCCCACAGCACATGAAGAGCCAGGAGTGTTTAAGCATCAGAAGAAAGAGTTACCAAACTCATGCTGGTTTCAAAAAGCCCGTGATTCCACAAAAGAGCTTGCAGCTCTGAAGTGATGACTCTGCAAGGCTTAATCACCCCTGATTGTAATTAAATCTAGCAAACCAGGAAGGTTAGCATGATGACAACCTAAGTAGCAGAGGAGATAATGTTTGTGTTGCCACTTACTATGTAGCCAAACCTATCTGGTTCCTTTATATATATGTATATGCTGACTTCTTCAAGGTGATTAGATTTCCTTACCTGTTGATTTACCCAAGACAGTTAAACCCTAAATGGTGCTACATAAAAACGAGGACAAGTGACTGGCATTGCTTGGTAATATTTTTAATGCAGGTTTTGTGAACCATTCAGAAGTCATTCAGAATTGTCAAGTAACACTGCCAGCATCATTAAAATAGATAAAAATGGGCTTTAAAAAACTTGAAGAATCGAGAAAAACATGACAGAAAGGTTTCAAAACTGATGTTGATTATTAAGAAAAAAAATTATTTTCACATTTTCAAAATTATTTAAGTTTTTTAATCAGCATTTGAATCGCTATTGACTATTTCAGATTACAGTTTTTTCTGTTTTTTAATTTCAAAATATGGGGGTTTTTTTTTGTTTTATTTTTAAATGCAAGTATTCTGAAAATACAAAACATTATTTCTTCCCCAGAAATTATGTGTTTTTTTCACTGAAGCTAAGAAGTCTTAGGGGTCCTAGATAACACAGTTCTGATTTTTCCAGCTTGGTCAGTAAATCAAACAAAAGTTTACAGTCTTCCTGGAGGAAAGGCTGCTACATCTCATTTAGACATAAAATGCTTTAACCAGTGTAGTAAAATGACATTTGAAACCAAGATACAAAGATCTATAGAACTTGTGAAGGGGAATATGGTTTTGCCCTTCATACAGACTGCTATTCATATTAGTGCTGTGCCAGTAAAGATTGTAAGAACTATTTAAAAATGCTTCCTTTGAGACTGATGAATACTTTGCACAACTGGGGATTATTGTTCCTAGCCAAGATCTCATCACATTATTAGGATAATTTTTTAATTACTTCCCTTTTATGTACAGCATCCGGGCTGCACGTGTGTGTGTATAGATGTCAATGTAACAGGATGCATAAATAGAGCTGATAAGCCAACACAAAGTAGTTCTGTTTTAAAAGAGGATGAAGAATGTGGGGCTAGACCAACCATTAAGTGGGAAGCTTTTAGTGAATTGAGGATGTACAGCTGAGACAAAAACTCGTTTTTATGTGTTATAAATGACTGAGCAGAAAAACTAGCACAGAGGTAGCTAAAGTGTGTGCTGGTGATAGTGTTTCATTTATAAATAAAACTAGAGTGCTTGTTATTTGCTGTAGAATATGGTCTTTGCTGATGGGGCTCAGAAGATCGTTACTTCCATATAAGGGAAGAATCACAGTGGCTGATATTTATTTTTTATTTAGAAAATCATCCCAGAAGACTTGACTTTTTAACATTACAGAGTGTCAGAAAAGCACAGTGTTGCATGCTTGAAAATTTTCTTGCCCTTAAAACAGGAGTGAAGAACCTGTCAGCCTGGGTCAGTGGCATGAATTGCGAGTGTCTCGCACGGCAAAGAATGGCATCCTGCAGGTGGACAAACAGAAGCCAGTGGAAGGGATGGCTGAGGTGAGCTCATGGCAGACTTGTCTTGAACGCAGCTGTTGAACTGTAAAGTGATTGCATGCTAGACTGCACAGCCTGCTCTCAAAGCTCTTACTAGCTTAAAATTGTATGCACATTAGGGCAACATTTTCTTAAGCCCAGAGTTGGGAATTTGTGTGTAAGGTCTTCCCTCTGAGGACAAGGACACATGTAAAGGCAGGGATCCCACTGGAATCCGACTGTACCTGCTCCTGACACATAACTGGACTCACATTTTTGTTCTGGATCATATATCTTCCTGAGGTTCATCTGTTGGTTCTTGCTGTGGCTAAGTCTGTTGAGCAATGTGTGCTCTGTGAGAGGTGTAATTTGGGGAAGTATCATGCTGAACAATATGTGCCCAGTGTTTTTTACCTCTTGCTGAATATTGTCCTGGAAAGGTGGACCTGAAGAGACTTGTTTCTTTGTCTTCTTCTTGCTAAAATAATTTGCAGGCCAGAGTAAGTGCTGGAACAATTAGACAGTTGATGACTTGCTTTTTGTTCTTCACTCACCAAGTGATCATAGTGAGTCAAATTAATTTATAATGAAGTGAAGCTGTACTTGTACCAAGCAGGATATTCACTCGAAGCACTTAAATGCCTGCACAGAGATACATTTTCTATCTTGATAAAGGCCAAGGCTAGACCTGCTTGGGAAATGTCTTCTACCTAGTGGAGAGTGCAGACAGAAAACCAGACTCCAGATCCCATAGCAAAAAAAATTCCATAGCAGAAAAATCCTATAGCAGGTTTTTCAGAAAACTGAGAAACTTTTATCAAAACTTTGACTTTTCTTCAAAAATTTAAGTAAATTGAAATTCTAGTTGTGGGTCAGGAAACAAATTGAGTGAGAAACATTTGACTGGAGCACTCAAGACTTCTTTAAAGTGAACAATCCCTTTTTTTTTTTTTTTTTCTCTTAAGTGCTGCATTGCAGTATTCCAGGAGGAGGGTGGCTGGGAACTGCCAACCATGAAAGCACAGAAGCTTCTGCAGGACTGGAGTTACGCAGTTATTCTGTCTTTAGCTGTTAAATGTCTTTCAGTTAACTCCAGGACCCTGAATATTCCCATCAGGTATCCTGAGCAACTGCTTCTGGTAGTTGATACAAACTGAATGTTTCTTTCATTTAGCCCCTAACCTCCAGTAGGTTATCTCTTAGATGTTGGAAATACTGAATGACTCCCTGTTGCATTAACTTTGCTCTGATTTTAGCTTTATGAACCTAATTCTGGTTATAGATTTACATCAGTGTACCTCAAGTCTTTGCAAATAAAGCTATATGTGCAGTCAGAAAACACTATAAGTCAGTTTCGTTTTTTCTTTCAGTATTGGTATTTTGAAATACTTGAGATTTTTCAGCTACTTCTGACAGGGATAGTGTAAAGTCAGTCAAGAGTCCTACAGTGGCTTTCTTGATTGTACAAGGAGGAGGCATTGGAATAAGCTGTATGACAACTAATCTGAAGATAGAAGCATGGTTCCAGCTACTCTAATAAAATGTTATTCTATGTTTCTTGCAGGGGGCTTTTACACAGATTAAATGTAGCTCTGAAATATTTATTGGTGGAGTCCCCAGTTATGATGATGTGAAGAAGAACTCTGGGATCCTCAGACCCTTCAGTGGGAGCATCCAGAAGGTGTGTGCCCAGAGAAACACACTGTGGTCGTTTATTTCCATTGTATCCATGCATGCTTTCTGTGCAAAACTGCTGTTATTGTTATGTGGCAATATTCAAAATAACGAAGGATTCACCTCAGGAGCCCACCATGAAGTGGTTAAATGATTACTTCACAGTGAAAAGTCTGCCTAGTGCATTCTTACACCACCATGGAGATGTGCACCATGCTGCTTTCCCCTCTTACAATTTTATAGGGGGCACATGTATGGAGGAGATGTTTTCCATTGTTAGCAGACATTAGGGATGATGTTCCCATGTGGTCAGCTGAGCATGAGTTCAGTTTGTATCGGGCCTAAGTAAATAATCAAATGGAAATGAACTTACATTTTTCTTTTAAACATACTTAAAATAACTTGGATAAAGTTGGAAGGTTGGTCCTGAATCCTCACAGTTTTAGAGGAGTGAATTGCATCAGATTAGTGTAAAGAAATACCAAATAAAACCAAATTTTTAATAATAGTTTTTATTTTAAAAAAATTAAAGCTCTACAGTTAACAATTGTTCCAGGACCAAAAAGTAATTGTATTTCGGTGTAAATGGTTCAGTCACTCAGTCTGACACTTTTTACTGTCTTTGTCAGCTGTCCAGCAGGAAGCATGAAGTTCAGGAAAACTGGAGGTGTGAGTAATAGGGATGGGAACAGGTCAGACACATGAATGTGATTAGGAAGGTAGACTTGACTAAACACAATGTATTTTGGGATGCAAGATAGAGAGCCTAGGAACAATTAACACAGGTTACAATTACTATGTGAGGGGCTGTACAATAGAGTAAAGGTGCTGATAAGGATTGGGAAATGTAGAGTGTGAGTCTTTATCTCCATGATGTACTTAGTGAGGTGGATTTGTATTCTCAGAGGCATGAATGGGATGTCAAGGGAAAGTACTGCCTGCCTTTTGGGCACTGGTAACGCTTGCCTTCTTTGGATTTGGGAGAACTATATAGAAATAGAGCTGCAAACATCACCAAGTACTGGAAAATATGCAGTGTATAGAATTACCTAAGACCACAATATATTTAGTTCAGTTAGATAAGGCTGAGAAGTGACTTTGTTGTGGTCTTCTAGTTCTTAGATAAGAATGAGATTTCTTTGGATACATGGTGCTGGAATTATGCAGAAAAAGACAGGATGAAAAGCAAGGGCTGGAAACTGAATAGAAGTTTAAAACAAAAGACATGTTTTTATGAGTGGAGGCTTGGTAACCTGTGGAACAAAATTTGGAAAGAAGCTGAAAACATAATGGAGTCTTCCCCAGTTCATTACATGACAGGACTGGATGTTTTCTCTGCTGTTAGAGTTGTGCAGTGCTTTATGTAACCTCTCCTCCGGGTTGGATTCCCTAAGGTGCATTGCCCAAGTTATGCAGGAGCCAGAGCAACTATTACCTTTCTCAGTTCTGGCCTTAAAATCTATTGTTTGTTAAGATGTACTTATTTTGATGTAGCTGAGATCAGATGCTGTGCCTGCATGCAATCTCTCTTGCTGAGATGTCAGCTGAGATTATACAAGTGTTGGTTTATTTTGGAGAACATATGCAGTTGACATATTGGAAAAATCCCAGCATTTAACAGTTTTCTTCCATTTATATACAAACAGCTTTGTGAAGTCATTATTTATGTTTTTCATTCATCTTAACTCTAGCTTCTTTCAGGCAAGATGAGATACTAGAAAGCAATAGAAAATGTGAAAAACAAGCTGTTCTGCTTAGTATTTCTGTTGTCAACACTCATCTCCTGGGGGGTTTTCTGATCTCAGAAATGCTTTTCTTCAGCAGCACTCATCTAATTTTATCATCTCAGCTCACAGTTCAGCTACAACCAGTGTTGCACCAGTGTTCAAGTGTTCAGGCAAGGGCCTGGTAAATTCCACACAGCTTCACCCCTTACAGGGGTTGCCTAAGGCTGTTTCACAAGACACAGAAGACATTAACCTCCAGTGGATCAGGGGGAGCAAAAGTATGAGTTGGACCTCTGTAACTGGAAAACACACAAGAATAGGGTTTGGGCCAAGTTTTGAGAGTTACATTTCTCTGAAGTCTTTCAGCGGAATCTTCTAACTAGCAGTAGGATGCTCTGCATTTGAAAGTTTTAACATCATCTTTTCACACTTTTTTTTTTTTTTTTTGACATATAGATTATCTTGAATGACCGGACAATTGATGTGAAACAGGATTTCACTTTTGGAATCAACCTAGCAAATGCTGCCCACCCCTGTGTGACCTCACCATGTGCGAATGGAGGCACCTGCATTCCCAAGAAGGACAGCTATGAATGTGACTGTCCCCTGGGCTTCGATGGGCAACATTGCCAGAAAGGTAACCATGGCTGGATATTAACCAGGGATCAGGAGCTGATCACAAAAATAAGGAAGATTTAGCACCTACAACTGCTACTGTACACATGCCTTTAAATAGAAGCCCTGGAGGCCAGAGCTCCCCTTTCATCTGTGCACTTTCCATGTATCTAGGGAAGAATTTGTTTTGTTACTTAGGAATGCAGTAACTGTTATCCCAGCACGGGGCTAGGATCCATAGATAGCAACCTGGTATCTGGTTGCTTGTGGGGAACAACACTGAACACTAACACTTGGTACACGTCCCTAATAGTGCAGTGCTGTGCAAAGGGGGAATTCCTGCCAGGGTCCTCCAGCCAGCAGTTATGTTACATCCTGAAGCATGAGCATGGATAACCCTTGTAATTTTATCCACAATACAGCTGACAGCAAACACTGTTCTCACACACAGAAAGGTCTGCTCCTGTTTTAGGCACTGACTACTCTGATGGAGATTGCACCATCTGCAGAGATCCTGCCTTGGTGGGGCGAAGGAGACCACCAAGGAGGAAAACTCATTCATGTGCACATTACTCTCTTTTCTTCAGAGCCACTGTAATAGTTCAAACCTTAGATTCAGAAAAGGGGTAAGATTGCAAGAAAAGCGTTTAAAAACTGTGCTTTGGGTTATTCCACTAGATGGAGTCGTTTCACTTCTGTCAAGCTTGATCTTAAAAAATTCCTGAGGGGAGGTTTTGTAATGTAACAGTAAACTCAGTTCAAAAGAGCTGGCTGACATTATTGTCTTCACCCACTGCTTCATTTCTCACAGTCATAAACTTCAAAGTTAAATGTAGTGGTTTTGGTTAAATTGCAATGAATATATTGGCCTTTTTTTCAAAACAGACAATATCTTAGAACAAAAGCATTATAATAAAATGCAGTGCAAGAAACCCCTTTGCTTACGTTGTTGTGGTCTAACTAAGAGCCGAAACAACGTCATTTACCCTGGCTTTTCTGTAGGGAGGCAGGAGAACTGGGATTTTGACTTTCTAGGTATGTGCAGGGTGCTAAATTCCTGACTTCAAGATGGTATCTGCAGCAGTACCAACACATGTCCAAGGGCAGTCATTCAAGGGAATGCTTTGCAGCCGGGTGTGTGAGTGCCTGCCCGTTTGGTGTGCAGTGCTGGGGCCGCAGCTCCTCACCTCTGCTCAGCTCTTGGCCTGTGCTGAGCCCAGGGAGCAGTGTCTGGGCTCATGGACCAGCAGTGGTGCCACTTGGCTGGCATGTCCTCCCTGTTGTCACTTCAGTGGGTGTCCAGGCTTTCAGAGACAGTCTGAAGTACTTTTGCCTGTGATTTAGCCAGATCCTGGGCCCTGCTTCTTATGTGAATCCAATCTTTATTCATTTTTAAGGGTGTCCAAAAGCATGATCTACCTGTTTTCTGTTCCTGATACTATGGCTCCTATTCAGGTGCAGCTCAACCTCCCTGTGCTTGTGCAGCCTCAGCTGCCACCAAAAATTGAAGGGTTTTCTGACAGATGTGCATAGAGCATGGCGTTGCCCCTGAACCTCAGTCCATGACAGCCTTGATGAGAACCACCTGAAACAGATTCCTCAAAATATTCCTTACCTGTGTCTCTGTTGGGGTATAGACATTGTTAATGTGAGAAAGCATGTCTGTGTCCACTTCTGTTTCACAACAGGGTTTTGGTTAGTGGACTCAGAAGGTATGTGAGGTGAAGGTGCTGTCTCCATCCTACTTGGTGGTAGGCTGCTGTAAAAAACCCTGAAAAGCAAAGTGCTTTTGAGGGAGTGCATGTAATTCTTCGAAATTACACACACCACTTAAAAACTCAAGTAATGCTGGTATGAGGTATATGAAGTATTGATTCATATTGTAATGGATGATTAGCTGAAGATTCAGTAGAGTTTTTGCTGTCATTGCTAGGTTTTATATCTTCTGTCCAAGCTTGGGGAGTGCTAAAGGTATTTTTATACTTCAACTGTAAGATGGAATAGAACAGCAAACACTTGTTTTCCCTTGGCTAGAGCTGATCCCTGGGTAAAACCTGGTGAGTCACTGAGATTTGAGAAGCAGGACTAGCAGAAGGATTTGCTGCTGGTCCTACCTGTCTGTCCCTTTGTGTGTTTTGAGCAGACAAATATAGATACTTGGAGCAAACCAATTATGAAAACAGTACTACCTTCACAGGTGATTGTAGTCGCTTATGCAAGTGGTAGGTGGGAGATTATACATTTGTAGAAAAGTGGGTATGAAATTGGGCTAAAGGAGATTTTTATGCTCTAGAATAATAAACCCAGAATGTTCTTTTGTTTTGTGCTGACTCACTGCAGAGTGTGGAAGTTACTGCCTAAACAGTAAGTACTGCAAATAATGTGAAAACTGCTCTGTCATTGTCTGTCTGGATGCTGGGTTTCCATTAAGCCTGGGGAGTTTCTGTCATTAAGCCAAAATATTTTCTAAGGTTATACAGAACTTCCTTAAACATCCTACTGTTGATCTTTCAAACTGCATCCAAAGCATTTGCCAAGCTCAGAACAGTGGCTGTACAGGTGGTCTGCCTTATTTGCCAAGCAGAGGGCCAGGTAGCCGGCTGTGGGTTTTGTGGCGTGACTTCAGACTGCCTTGCAGTCCAGAGCTCACTTCTGCTTGGCATGAGAGCTTTGGTGCTTGTCTGCTGAACCGTGATGGGCAAAGAATGAAGGTGTGTATCCTAGATCTCCTTACTGGCTCTGCTTCCTTCCAGCTGCAAAGATCCTGGCTGCACCAAGGGCACTGCTAAAATTTGATTGTTTTTCTGCACTCAGATTCAGTGAAACAAATGAAGAGCAAGCAGCAGTAAATGCCCGTTAAGCTCTCTAGAGGAAATCAGAGTGCTCTGGCACAGGCAAAGGCTGCTGCATGACGTGGGCACCTTCCCCTGCTGAAGGCAAAGAGCAGTGGGGCTCTAGGGCAGGATGTGGTGGGGGAACAAGGGCTCCTTTCATGCTCTGCTGCCATCAGAAGCTGTCCAGTGCAGGAAGTGTCAGACCTGGTGAGGAATGTTTGGCCAGTGTAACACAACTTTTGCAATCTTCCAACGGCATTGGCAGACTGCAGGCTGGACATGGCCTGTGGTGGTTTCTTTAGACACATTAGGCAGCTTTCCTGATTTCACTATGGATGAAAACAGTCATTCATCACTGTCTAAAATTCTCAGTCTTGGCACCTAGAGCTAAATTTCATATTACTGTTGCTGGCTGCCAGATTACACCAGTTGTTGCATATCTGTGTCACAGTGAGCTCTAAAAGCCCAGACCCTGTGTTGTGTAAAGAAAGCAGGTATCCTTGCCCTGGAAAGCTTGAAATTTATATAGATGGGATTAGCTGTGGGTTGAAGGGATTATTCCTCAGTAAGAAAGTAGGATGAAGGCATCTATTTTAAGTAATTTATACAACTGGCTTATATTAATGCAGCAGTCAGTTACGGGAGACCAGCAACAAACTGTAGGATGTTCACTCGACAAAAAAATCTGTTTGGGCTGATGCTCATAGCCTGGTGAAGGGCTCTGTATCAGGGATGTTCCATGGTTTATGTCACACAGCTGAGTTATTTTGCCAAAGTCATCTTCGTGGGCAGCAGTGCACAGCTCCAGTTCTGGCTGCAGTGTTTGCCCCTGTCCCAGCCATACACCATAGGGGCACCTGGGGCTGTCCCTAGAGAAATGCTGGATGAGGGACACAGAGAAAGACCCCCAGGGCTGCACTGGAGTGTTGAATGCACCAAAGGGCTCCACAGCCTCTGCCGTGCAGCCTTTAGCATAGTCCCAGCTGTTTTCAATAGGCTAAAGTGATCTGGGACTCTGGACTCTGTAACTCCTCCCTGAGACAGCCTGCCCCCCACACTGCACCCCAGGGTGAGCTCTGACCAGGCAGCAGCCACTCAGTGCAGTCACAGGCACAGAAAGAGAAAACAGGGAGCTCACAGGTTGTGTGTGCAGCCTCTCAGCCTCCCTTTGCAGGGTGAGAGGTCCCTAATGTGCTCGGCATGTGGTGCTCTCTTAGCAGCAGGGAGGAGTTTCTTAGTCTATAAACAAAGGTGGTTAATGCACAGTCTTTGGCAGGAGGGAGTGTTGAACCGCATAGAGAATCAAGGAATGTGGAAATGGGGGTAAAGAGAAAATTTGCAATGTTTTCCCAATGCTTCGTATTTTTCTGCACTAACATTTGTAGTGGAGCAGAACATTAGGCTCCTGACATGGAGGCTGTAAGCACAGGGACTGTCAGCCATTTAAACCCCCGTAACTGCTGCCCCTACGTCTAGGTAAAATCTGGCAGTGCCTGTTTGCAAAGCAGGGTGTGTTCAGCTCAGTTCTGTGTCACTGGATGGTACCTGTCACTGCAGGACTAAATCAATAAAAGAGTCTTGTCTCTTTTTTTCCTTCCATTTCCAAGTCAGGTATCTGACACTCATCTTCATTTTTTTTTTGTATTTACTTCTCAGCCATTACAGAAGCAATTGAAATCCCACAATTTATTGGTCGCAGTTACCTCACATATGATAATCCAGATATCTTGAAAAGGTAATGTATTTCCTGTGGACCTAAGTATTCTGTTTCTTAAATGTTATAATGTTAGGAGCCTTATGTGAGAGAGTGTAGTATATGTACGTGTTTTAAGCTGTATTTATAATATTTCTAACAGTATTTCTGCCATATTTTTAAATTTCAGGGAAAAATACATTTTAAGTGCATATCTTTGTGGCTTAGTTTATTACACTTGAGCATCTTACACGCTGTCAAGAAATAGCACACCTGTGTCTGGCATGGAGAGGGACTGGTTTTTCCCTGAGGGCAAAAAACAGACATACAGAGCTTGTGTCTCAAAAGAGACTAAGGACCTTAACTCCTTTTTAGCTCCTGCTTTAGCCTAACATTTAGATTCTCAAAGTTACTTTTTTGACTCTCTGTATAGTAGAACATCCCCACATTCCAGCAAATGTTGGTTTGTTTCAACAAATTGCTCCATCTACCTTTATTTCAGCCACTGAGTAGAGAAGGGTACACCAGCATCCTCACCTGCCATTTGGTACCTCCCACCTACTGGGACTTACTGACTTGCCCTTTTTATGATTCTTCCACTGGCTTCTGAGGGCATCACATCTACTGAGCATTCTCAAAATCTGCTTTTTGGGCTGGATTTCACACTAGGCTAGAGGAATAAAAGGATTTTCTCTTATTTGTATGGAATAACCTAGCAGCTGTTGTGTAGAGAGATGAGTTAAATTCCCCTGCTCTGAAATGATGGAAATGGGGATGTGAGCCAGAATCCTTCACAAATCAGCATGTAAATGAGTTGCAGGGCAGTAACCCACCAGACCAGCAGAACCAAAATACTGCATCATCTTTTATGTTTTTTTGAAAGAAGACTGGCACAATTTAGTATTTTACTATTATTTCTTTCTTCTGCATTAAACAGGGTATCAGGAACAAGAACAAATGTGTTCATGAGGTTTAAAACCACAATGAAGGAAGGCCTTTTGATGTGGAGGGGAAACAGTCCCATGCGACCTAACAGTGATTTCATCTCTCTAGGCCTTCAGGAGGGAGCGTTGATATTCAGGTAAACTTTCTCTCCCTTGTTTGTGTAACACACAGGGCTCAAAGGAGTTGCTACAACACATACAGCGCACTTGTCCCTTGGCACAGTGTGAGACACTCTCATCCTCAAAGTTTTGTTCAATGGTGGGTCCCATTTGCTGTCTGGGAGAGGATGTAAGTTGAAGAGGTAATGTGCTGAAAGATTTGCATCACTCCTCCTTCCCAGTTTTTCAAACATCAGGGCTTTATTGTGATTTTCTGAAAGATTTCTTATGAGGGGATAAACACTCTTGGTAAGCCCCCCCCCACACCTATTAAATCTATCTCAGGCAGAGCAGGGAAGGGGTCAAGGACAAACTTTGGTGGTGCCACTGCTCACTGTGGGCTCACTCTTTGCCAGACAGTGCACAGGAGCAGGGCTTCCACCACCTCAAATCCCCAGATATCCAGCCTTGTGACACACACACACAGCTGTCACCACACCTTGTTTCTGCCACCATCCACAGAATCACTTAATTAAGCAGTAATACTGCTGTCAAAATGATGAAGTTGGGGAGTATTGGGAAATGCTGCGGTCTTGCTCCAGCATCTGTTTCTCCCTTGCAGACACTCAGGCACGTGCAAGTTTTTGCATGGGGTTTTTTTGGGACTTTTGGTGTTTTGAAAGCTTTTTGTTTCCTCATGGTGCTCCTTTAGGTTGTGTAAGGCAAATACTGAAACAGCAAACCACAGATGCCATCACTATCGTGGATTGTTGTGAGATACTATTGATCTTGCGGCAGAGAGTTTATTATTTAAGCTAATTTTTTTTACTTAACTGGCTGTTCTTTGCTACCATACAGATATATAGATAAGTTACACGTTTCTATTTAATTTCTTTTAAGCTTTTTTTTTTTTTTTTGAATGAGATTTAACAGTGGCTAACTTGACAAAACCTCTTCGTTTCCTCATTGATTTATAAATAAGGAACTGACTCTGCAGAAGTGGTGCATTGTTTAAATGTCTTTGGAAGGGACAGTCTTTCTAAGATGCATGGTAGTAAGTGGCCACTCTATTCTGTTTCCAAAACACAGTGCAATTTTTATTATGTTGCTGCTGTTCCTCAGAGATGAAGATAGTCAAAGGCTTTAGACCAAACCAGCTGAATTTTACTGAAATATTTTTACCTTCCACATTCATTTAGGAAGGTGAAAAATTAACCTACCAAAATAAAACCCTCATAAGCAGTAACTGCTTACTGAAGGGGACCATCAAAGAAGATGGTGAAAGGACAAAAGCAGGAAAAAAATAATTCTGAAAGGTTGATCCTCATGCTAGATTTTCATCTTTTGAGAGGTGAAGTCAAGAGACTATCAGAGCTATGAATTTGTCTGAAGAATTTTCCTGCAGCTGAAGTTTAGATGTCTGTGTTCTGATCAAATTTGAAATCCAAAACACACCTTTTCTTTCCCATTTTCTATGGCCTTATTCCCTGTAGTACTTGCTGCTAGAAATTCTTTCTGTTGTTTCCTGCTTCTGTCAAAGGTTATTTCACTGTTGCAGGGGATAGCTGTTGTAGAGGGATTCATAAGGGATATGAATCTCATTTCTGTTATCAAAGGTCTAACATTTTGATGCAATCCTGAACACTCAAATCCTCTTGTTTTTGAACTGGACTGGTGTCTGCATCCTGGGTAAAAGGGGCTGCTTGCCTGAGACTCACTTAAACCCCTGGAGAGGAAACAAATTTAGGGTAATCACTTTGCACTGGGCAGCTCACAGTTTAATGTGCTGTTCTTCAGAACCTCACCCTGGCTATGAGTTCATTCCACGTTCAGTCTTTTTTGGAGAGATAGTGATGTTGGCTTTAATCCCTCCTGCTTCGTACAGGCTGAAGTCCAGCAGCAGCTAGTTCATCCAGAGCACTCAATAGCTCACTGTGCTCTAGCAGCTACTTCTCTTTTGTTAAGGTTGGCCCAAGCCTCAAGGACTCAGAAATTAAGATGCCTGCAGTGTAAACATGATGGGGACATTATATCTGCTGAGTTATTTTAGTAGAAGCAAAAAGCAAGCAAAGAAATAATTAGAGTGGCAGCTGAAGCAGCTGCATTTATTAGACTTCATCTTTTCTAATATCACAAGTCTCAACCTTCCCTATATTTCAGATGGTTTCTAGATCTGTTATAGGTTGCATGCTTATTTGCTCTTGTAAAAATTTATTTATTAACTGTATTTGAAAATTCCCACTCTTTGCGGTCTCCTATTAGGCCAAAGGTCTGTAGATCACTGACCTTCATAGTTCCCTGCTTTGGGGAAGCATGGCGTGAGGCTTTCTTCCTGCCCCCATGGGAAGGTGGTGATGGTACCCACTCCAACTCAGGGAGTTTTAGCTGCTTGTCCATGAGACTGACTTTACCAAATAAGAGCACTGTTGCTGGGACTCCAAAGGACTCCACTGATTGCCCCAAAATCCGAGCCAAAAGGGAGTAAGGATGCCTGAGCAGCTTGGTAGGCAACCAGTCCTTTACAGGAAGGCAGTAACATTTCAATTTTTTTTTTGATTGTAGCTACAATTTGGGCAGTGGCATTGCTTCCGTCATGGTGAACGGCTCTTTCAGCGACGGCCGGTGGCACAGAGTCAAAGCTGTTCGGTAAGCGGGCAGGATCCATCTGGGAGGCACCTGGGAGCCACCCTGCCATTAAAGATGCTGGTTGGGTGTGAATCACTGCGGCTCCACACTCACTCCTCGCTCAGGAGTGGAACTGTTAGCAGCTTGGCTGTCCCGGGATGGTGTACACAAAGATTGCTGTGTTTGAGGTGACAGTGCCAGCTCGGCACAGCTCAAGGCAGGCTGCCAAAGTCATGCAGGGCTATTCTGGGGCTGTGACAGACATTCTATTAAGCCCCTACCCTTTCTGTTAAGAGTATTTCTCTTTAATGTCTGCATTTTAAAATTCCCTGGTGAGCATTTTGTGGGCTGGCACAAGCATTGGAGCACAGACAGTGTAAACCTAGTTTTTCTATTTGGAGGAGGTGCAGACATCTTGCAGTGTATATATAACTCATATTTATAACTCATTACCTCATGGGAGGCAGCTGTGTCCAGCAGGGAAAGCATGCATCCCTCTCTTCATGAGAGGTTGATTCCCTGGAAATCACAGTCTGACATTTAGCACAACTTGTTCCCAAATTCAGTGAGAATAGGACCCATCAAGTAGCTTTCCTGTTAATACTGTTATTGATCATATGTAAAATGGCTTTAGAGAAACAAAACTGCTTAAAAATAAGTTTTGCCATAGCTTTCCCATTTTTTCCCTACTGTTGAAGCTTCTGCTGTTAACTTTTAACATTACATTTGATTTTTAACAACAGGTCAGAATGTGCCCATCCCCTCTGTCCCCTACCTGTCCAATTTGATTCTTTTCCAGCACTTTCTGCTCTGAAAATGTGTCCTGCACACTTTGAAGGTCTTTTACATCTATTAAAAAAATCCTAAAACCTGAAAAGTCTGGATGGCCTTGGTACACTGAGTCTGTGGGACTTCCCAATTCCAAGCCTTCACCATGAGCCCAGCTAAGCTCTGAGCTGCTCTGGTTTCCTGGCGAGTGGAAAATGCCACTGCTCCTCCTCTCATCTGGTTGTAGGCTGGATGAATGAGAGTGGTTTGCTTTTTGTTTCAGGGATGGACAGTCTGGCAAAGTAACCGTGGACGATTATGGTGCCAGGACCGGTAAATCCCCTGGGAAGATGAGGCAGTTAAATATCAATGGAGATCTCTATGTAGGTGGGTGCTAATTATTCACATTCAGGACGCAGATGCAAGGTCAGCTGCAAGGCAGGGCTTCCCAGCTCTGTCCAGCTCCTGCTGGAGGTGCCACACAGCAGACTGTAGTCTGCCACAGCCTGTTTTTTGTGAGAAGGCCTCCCTGAGTGGGATGGGGGAATGGATATAAGAAGGGATGAGCACTATAGGACACTCTGTGGTACTCCTGGCAGGTACATAGCAAGAGGCAGTTAGAAACCCCATACCTGGGCACAAGCTGATTCAGCTCTTACTGATGCTACAATTTCTGGAATAAATAATTAGTGTCCTAATTTATTACCTCCTGCTTGTCCCCTCTGTAGTTTCAAGTGCTTAAAATCCTTACTTAAAACAACACAAAGCAACCTATAGATTAAAATTCCCTTCTGAGGTGCACTAGGAATGGCATTGCTGGGTGTGCAGCCTGCCAAGCAGGAGCAGATGCCCGTGTTGGTGAAGAGTTTCTGACAGCTGCCTTTCCCGCAGGTGGCATGAAGGAAATTGCCCTGCACACGAACCGGCAGTACCTGCGGGGGCTGGTGGGCTGCATCTCCCACCTCACGCTCTCAACTGACTACCACATCTCGCTGGTGGAGGATGCTGCCAACGGGAAGAACATCAACACATGTGGGACCAAGTGACAAGAGAGGAATGCCGGTGCTGAGGACCCGTCGTGTGCTTGTGTGTGTGGCTGAGTGAGAGCTGGCAGTCCTCTACAGCCGGACTATGTTTGCCATCTGGGAAGGTGACAAAGCCAAAGGGAAACCCAAAAACAAGGAAAAAAGGAAGAACACTTTTCCCCTCTCATTCCCTCTCCTTTCTTCTCCTTTTCTGTCCAAATGAAACCAAGCATTTTGTGTATGAACCGTGCCCTCTACCCCTTAAGTGTTTAGTGAGCGCTAAAGATTGTGCATCAGTGCAAAGGCAAAGTGTGATGTTACGAGTAGCTCAGTGACTGTGTTTTGTGGTCCTTAGGTTATCTTTTGTAGTATCAGAGAAAGCAATCTTGAAACACCTGCAGTCATCCCACCCTGCAGTGTTACAGTGACTGTGCTGTTCAATACACACACCAGTGGGCAGCGTATTTCTGCATTCACATGTGGGTCCTGGAACAAGCAGTTCTCCTTACCACCCTCTGATTTAGCTAAATTATGTTTCATCCTGTCTAGCAGGATAACAGTTACAATGACTGGTTTCAAAATATTGTTGTTTGTTGAGGAGGAAAGTTCTTACAAGTCTACTTTTTTATTACAAGCAACACAAAAATGAACCAATTTTGTAGAAGTAATTTTATACTTGTCTATTTTTTATAGCAGCAGCAGACCTGCTTACATGGCATCACTTTTAACATCTACATGTACTATACAATTAGCTCTTTGCACACTTTCCTAAAAATAGAAAAGTGACCTGTGGCTTAATGTCTGTATTATACAGTTTTAATGGGGATATTTGTGAGTTATGACCAGTTTTACATTTGACTCTTTTTGTTCTGTAAATTTTGACAGTTTAAAATTGTACATTATGAAGCTTTCCTGTCTTAAACAGATTAAAAGATTAGGGAAAAAAAAGAGCAAATACTTGCTACTGTGGTATAATTTTTTTTTTTAATAATGAGAAAAGCTATTGCAAGAGACCTTGGTAAGTCACAGTCCTCTTAAAATGTTGTGTTTTCTAGGCACTGGACCAGCACTTATGCAACCTTGATTGCCAAAGTATAATTTAAGCAGGCAAACAAGAGTGCTGTTGAGACACTGAAAGAGTGGTCCAGAATTTCATAACTTGGAGATTTTTATTCCCTAATTCTTTGTTTAAAGTGGATGAGTGAGCCTGTGAAGGGGCTGGGGAGAGGAAGAGAGACCAACCATGCAGCAGGGCACCCCACAGCCTGCCACGTGCCTATGGCAGGAGAACCACAAACTTCCTCAGGGGCACAGGTTCATCTGAATGCCTGTGAGCTGAAAGGACCTGATGTGGTGAAAGCAATGGACGTGAGGAAGTTTTTGCTGTACTCAGAGTGCTCCTGGCCCCCTGAGACCGCACACACATTCCCTAGATTCATCCCACCTACAGCAAATCTAGATAATGGTACAGACAACTTCCTGCCAAGGACAGCCTAGCTCCTGTCCTGCATGCTAAAGGGACACCCTGATCTCTTAGATGACAGATCTTGTGCTCCTTGTAGATAAGGTAGCAGGCACTACCTTATCTACAAAAAACAAATGCAGGCACTTATTAGAAATGGAAAGTAAAAGGAAAATACGTGGCGGTGCCATCATGTGCACCTGTGCTCTGCCCCCTGTTCAAATGATACTTCAAGAAAAAACATCTGTAGAAGATACGGACAGCTTGCAGAGGAACTGGAGACACTCATGGCTCTCCTCCCAGGAGAATCAAAGTTTTGTTTGGCTTGGGAGCCTCATGGGGAAGGAGAAACCCTCTGTGGCTGGGAAAAAGCAGGATAAAGTATACCAGATCAAGATGTGCCTTTGAAACCAAAGTAAATGGAATTGGATGCCTTGGGTTTTAAAAGGAAAATGCGTGGAGTTTGAAAAAGAGTGAAAACTAATATTTCTGGAGGCTGAAGATTTTTCTGTCTACGCAGTGTAGCCCTGTGGGAGTGGCCTGACACAGCCTTGGGAAGTGTCTGAGCTGCTGGTTGCCTGAGAGGGAAAATTCACATCTTATGAGCTTGAGGGTTTTTCCAGATGCTAATGACCTGTCCTGACCTGGCACAGAGTAAGGAGATTTGACTGGCTGTACCCGTAATCCTCTGGACATGCTGGGCTGGTGTTGATGGGGCTCTACCAAGGTCCACAAACAGCATCATCCTCTGCTCTGTCTTACGTGCCTGGCCTTTCCCATCCTTTAGTTTCTGTCACAGAGTTTGGAGACCAGTTCCAAGGCAAACATCTGGTGGGAGAAGTCTCTCTTTTAAGATAATTTACTGCAGAATACCGGGCGCTTTGGTACGAGGCGGTGCTTCTCCAAAACAAAAGTGGCTCTTCTGAAATGTCGGGTAGGGAGGGGTATGGGTAGGAAATACCTCTGTTGTTGTTGTGGGAAAAGAAGAGCAGCTCCCCAGATATCTGTTTCCAACTCTGCTTGTCACCACACGGGAATTCGGGGCTGGCGACATCACCCTGCAGCGGTGCAGGCTGAGCACGAGCAGCACAGCTGCGCGGTGCCGGCCAGCCAGGAGTGGAGGCGTGAATAGCAAAGATGCTGAGTGGTTCAAATCGGTAAAAAAAGGATCCTTTCTGCATCCTTTTAAAGACAATCTTAGAAACATCCCTCATCTACATCTCCACTCTTCCTGGTAAAGCTTGGGCATGGGTTCCCACTGTGGTTTCCACTTCAGGGGCTGAACAGGAGACAGGTAGCAGAAAATCAGGAACATCTGACTACATGTGGAGGCTTTGCCCCTCTCGCTCTCTGCCACCTTCCCCACTGATGCTGGGTCAGGGAAGGATAAAAGAAAGGTGGACAGTGAATGGCAGAGTGATTAGTCATTTTCCCAGGAACTGGCTGCATGTGCTGTCTCCAGGAATGTTTATTAGTCACATTATTCATTGCTTGGGCTGACTCAGATGCAAGGCATGACCCCAGTGCTGAACAGGGTAAGTTCCTGCCAGTTGGAGCCGCATCTCTTTTGCTGCAGTTACCTGAGCAAACCAGCAGAGAAGGCAGCAGCCACAAGTGCTTGTACCTCTCTTTGCAATTTTTTCTCCTTCCTTAAACTGCAGCTCTTATTTTTCTTACTAGTTTTCCACATTATTCCCAAAACACGTAATATTCCACTTAGTAGGGCTGAACACCTGCCTTGATGCCAGCTTTGGTGGGCTGAGTCAGGCTTTGTGCTGAGCACTGGCTGCTGGCCAGAGCTGCTTCCTAGCTGCCCCTCACTCTGCCCAGGGCAAAGTGTGTCTTGCGGCTCTCCACTACTCCTCCATCTCCATGGGAGCCAGCTACTAGGAATCAGTTAGGTTTAATCTGCTTCATCCTAAAGGAAAATAAGGATAAAAGAAAAAGAAAGCAAGTCAAGGAGTTCTAAAGCCAGATGAGATTTAGCAACGCTCCGTATAATTGGAAAATCCTTGCTGCACTGCTTTGTCCTGGGTCAGCTAGGAGCTCATTTCCATCCCAGTCCTCCCAGCTTGGCCCCAGGGAGCAAAAGAGTGAAGAGGAGGGGGAAGAAGGGGTTACTAGGATTGGGAAGTTGCCCATTCCCTGGATGGAGTATTACCCTGCAATAGCTGCCTGCTATTTTGTCAGCCAGGCTTTCCTTTTCAGAAAATGTTTTCATTCTGTTTGCACAGCAAAGTAAACTGGGTGGAAAATGTGTTGTTCCAGCTCTGCATGTTCAGCTCCCTCCATGACAGCATCACCCCTCGAGAGGAAAATCTCCTCACTTTAAAGGACTAGATAAGGTACAGTCATGGTTTACTCAGAGAGAGCAACAGCCACATCCCATCAGACAGTCTTTTATCACCATTTTACTTCTTGGGTGGTGGGGGTGGGGTGGGGGTGTTCCTGTTCCCCAACTCTCTCCCACTCCATTTTTCATTGGTTTGAGTCATTGTGGGCCCTGTGGGGTCCACAAGGCACTGTGATGTTGTGCCCTTGATTCTGCACTTAGGCATTTCACTCACGAATAACAGCCTGGTGCCAGCACCTGTGGTCACTGCAGCTCTGCAAGGTCCTGGCTTTCTGTCCCTGTGGACAGGACTCGCTCGTCTGTGAGTGCCCTCTTGTCAAACCCCTTGTGATGGAGACTGCCTGGCAGTGCTGTGACCGACTGCCCTGATTTCTTTTGAATATCCATTCACTGTCACAGCATTTTTCTTTGTTCATTGTGCACTAAGACAAAGATTACATTGTTCCTCTTCCCCTGCTCTTTCTTTTTAAATCATTCCCTCAGTCTTTCTTTCTAGGAAAACAACTGTGCCAGTTCTTTCAACACCATCCCCACAGGCCATGTTTTCCAACACTTTTTGTAATTGAGATATATGGAGAAATGTGGAAAATATAGAGCTGCAGAGCGCAGACACCCCATGTTCTGTCTCACAAAAGAGCAGCTTTCCAACCTAATTTTTTGTTTTGCAGACTCTTAGTTTCTATTGGCAGTAGTGGCAGCCTATCTCATCAATTTTTGCAAACATGGCAGAATTTTCCTAAATTTTTGTCTTTTGAAAACATGGGAGGAGCAATATCTAATATTTTCTTTACCATTTCACTTGCTCCCGCTTTCTTTTCTTCTCTACAGTTTTTAGTTGTGGCGTCTGCAAAGCAGAATTCAAAAATTAAATTACCTGTTTATCATCATGTTTAGGTAGCTTTCATTTGAACTGATTGTTCTTACCAAAACACAGATAGGTAACAAATGTTTCATACAGAGGAAATTTAAGCTTTATTTATGTGTTGAGAGAAGTTTTCTGTGGTTGCAGATCCAGGGGAGTGTGTACTTTGATGCTACAGCCACTGCCACATTGGGAGCTACCAGCACTGGCAGTACAGGGAGAGCCAAAAAGAACATAAGAATCACAGAATCACAAGGCTGGGAGACCTTCAAACTCATCGAGTCCAACCTGTTCCCTGAACCCTCAACTAAACCATGGCACCGAGTGCCATTTCCAGTCTTTTTTTAAACCCATCCAGAGGTGGTGGCTCCACCCCCTCCCCGGGCAGGCCATTCCAGTACTTTATCACTCTTTGCATGGAAAACTTTTTCCTAATATCCAACCTATATTTCATTTGATGCAGCTTGAGACTGCAACCTATTGTTCTGCCAGTTGCTGCCTGGAGAAGGTTGTGTGCTGGAACGAGCCAGAAAACATGGATGGTCTGACTCCCTCTCTCCACTCTCAATATGATGGTGATGCATGGGACAGTTCATGAACCCCGCAAAAAACCTCCTGCTTTCATAGTCCTCTGCTGCTGCTGTTGTGTGTCTCCATGATGATCATATCTACTCATTCTAGCTGCCTGGGAGCTGTGTTAAATACACAGCCCAATTGGATTAACCTGGTTTTGCCAAGGATTGAATTAGATATGTCTGAACATGTGCAATATCTTCAGAAGATATTGCAAAGCCATCATCCTCTTAGTTCTTTTAGACCTGAGACACAGATGGTGGAGTGAGACCTGTCTGGAGCTCCTCCCTGGTGTCCCTGCTACCAGAGCAGCAGCAGGGTTGGAGAGGGTAGCTGTGGGTTTCACTTTTGAAACAATTAAGCCTTCCCACATTCCAACAGTTCTACGTGTTTTTTTCAGAGCAATACTCTTCAGTCCCACTAAAAGACCTAAATCCCACAATCCCCAGTGCTCAGAAGAGCTCCCACACCCTGCCCAGTTGCTGTCATATCAAGCTGCATCAATCTGCTGTTGTGGGGCAAGGAATTGACTCTGACTTTCAAGGATGCCTCCAAAGAGATGGAGAGAGCACATGCCATGATGGTTTTTGTGACGTGCTGTGGTGTAGCACCTGTCATTACACACATTGCTAAGGTCAGGTTATTCCCAAGTAAAGGTGCTCTGGATTAGATGAGCCAACACAATTCTT